CTGTAATACAGAAAATATATCATATAAAACATATACCTTTTTAACATATTTAATTCTACAATAAAAACCTTAATCATGGGTCAAATAATATTATGAAAACTTTAACTGATTATTTTAATACAAAAAATTTGACATTTAAAGAATTGATGCACATTTTTCAAACTATAAAACTTTCAACATTTAAAGAATCAAAATAAAAGCTAAAACTTTTAAGAAAGGTAGGGAAACCTATCTCTTGTCAACAGGGTGTAACTCCTCGTTCTCTTGTTAACAGGGTGTAACTCCTCGTTCCTCCCGCTGCCAGGCTCGACTAGGTGAGGAACGAAGGAGAGAGATCCCTCCCCTTTAAATAGGAGGAGGCGAGCCTCTATTAAGAGAAATAAATTTTTAATTTTCGTATTTATAAATTATTTCCATTTAATATACTACCAAATATGATATCATCATATTTGGAATACTTACTAGTTATTTCCTTAATTCATATCAACATATAAGGAAGTAGATTAAGATTTCCTTAAATTATAATAACAAGTAAGGAAAGAAAATCAATTCCTAACTTAAATATTTGATGTGATTACAACAATAGCGCTACCATATCCATAGCCCTACTATCCGTCACCTTACATTTATGTCCTTTTCTTTACAATCAATAGATTCACTTATGTGGCATCGTGGCACTCTTCTAAGTCCATATTCATTCTAATCAATGCTTGGTTTTGGTAGCGAAGTCCCTTTGGACTCATCATTGCTTCCTCACCCATTTCAAGCACCTACTTCAATACCTCTGTGTTCTCTGAACAGTTTCCCTTGATTGATAGAAAGATAGACTACACTCCTATGCATGGCCTCCTCCATCATGTTGTAGGGCTCGCATCGATTTTATCCTCTTTAGCTTCCTTGATAGCAATGTTCACTTATTCGGCATTGTGCTCTAACTTGTTGGGATCCCTTAAGCGAATATAAGTTTTGAAGCAATCCAACTCTCCAATTGCTCCAATAATATATCTTATATGATCAAGTCTCCCTATGGGATTTACTGGTACTTGCATTTAGAATTTTTCCTCGGTGGTACACAGTCTTCATATGCTAATAACCAAATCTTTCATCCAATGCAAAATTTGATGTATGCATAGAAGGCCCACCTCTATGGTACCATGACATTCATTCCTTGAATCCATAGCTTTTTTTTATTGTCGTGTTGTTCGCCAAAATAAAGCTCTCGGTAGCTCTTAATCGTACTTATGTATGACCCAAAAACTCTCAATTATACTTTTGTATGACACATATACCATCTTAAAATTTAATCACATTATAAGTACAAGGAACTTAAAAATTGTTTGCAGATGTATGAATAGACTGACTAATAATAGATAGATTATAAATGACAAACGATGAAACAGTGAAGATCAAGCAAAAGAAGAAGGCTGCCGGCATTGTTCTAGTTAAGCATATTGGAAAAGCATTTATATGTATATGGTGCAACCAAGACAAGTATTATAACTATATAACAAATAAAAGAGGATTCAGAAAGATGAAAAAAATATATCGATATTATACTTGACCCAAACTAATAAGCAAGAGATCAATAATACTATTTAGGTCAATAACAATTAACTTATTCAACTTCAAGAAAAGCAACAGTGAAGCCTTTTAGGTCATGAGTAATACCTGTCAGAATTCCTTATGGCTCAATGAATTATTATCTCCATAAAATTCACTTAACTCATCGACTACGAACGTACTAGGCTACTACGCCGCAATCCCCAAACGATATAGAGGAATCCAATACATTAGATATGTCTGTCTTCAATTATCATGTACTTATATTCCCTCATCCATCTAATATCTCATAGACCGTACACTAGGTATGGTGCTATCAAGCCTATATGGTTTCTCCTCAAGTCTTACTCTAATCAGATTCTCCTTGAGAACATTTTCTCTCTCAATCTGATTGACCTTGGCTAATGATTTATCTAAGCAAGAACACATAGGATATTCCTCTCATGATACCGAGAGCGGATGATCCTCTATCGATACTCAATAGCCTCTGTAAGATTGATTGTCACTTCTGATGACCGGCTATGCTATATATGAAACTTTCAAACTTATAAGTTCGATATCAAAGAGTGAAATACTCATAGAGGACATCCTTAGTATTTCAAGTCTAAAGACTAGGTACATACTGGAACAATGGAATCGTTGTCTGACAATGAGATATCCTCAATCATCTAATATTCTATGAGCGGATCAATCAATGAACTCATTCTCCAATGAGCACCTACACTGTAGCCCTAGTATCCTCACATGAGTAGTTGTTAGACCAATCACCTTCATCATATGAACGAATATACAATAGACTAGTCTATCTAGTTATCTCGATATCCTTCTCGAGTAACCTATGACCATGAATATTTTGTCTCATTATCATGATCTCATCACGATTCAATTCACATTGCATTGATTCATGAACATTACAAAATATGTGTGTAGGTAACCAAAGGAGGCATAACAAGACTCATTTTATCTGCCACCTCCTATACTCCTCCTCAACCAATAACCCCAATTTGGGGCATATAGATAGTAAAAAAGAGCGAACCCTTCTTGATCAAGTGGTGCGCGTGGAAAGAAAGATCATGTAGCAATTTAAGGAGTATTTTTGCCACATCTACTATGTAGATCACCGGTAGAGAAAATGATATATAAATTCCCATTTAGCATAGGGAATTGAGACTCATTCTTCCATTTGAGCCTTTAAAGCCCCATTAGGAGCCACCTCTACTTAGCCTTGGCTGCCTCTAAGGTGGGTCAGTTTTGGAGCTTTCTCTCCTCCTAGTGCGTCAACTTGAGAACACTTCAATTTTTCAACATCATGCTCTTCCACCCTTGTGCCTGTAGGTAGAGATATATTTCCTTTCTCCTACCACTTCCTCTCAATCCTATTATTGTTAGTCGGTCGAGGAGGTCAATGCTTCGTCCTTAGACATCCCAAGGGCAAGGGAAGTCCTAACCTCTCTCTCACTAGGGGAGTCTATTCTAGTGAAACCTAAGGTTCTTCGAGCCTTGGAGTCTACGAAAATCTCACACGATAAAGACTCAATATTTGAGTGTATAACTCCTGGATCACTTATAGACTAGATATTCTATTTCGATCGAGTTTAATATGCAAATCCCTCGATTTGGTCATCGTCTGTTTGACCCCACGTTCTAGTCTTTTTGCTTATCCTTTAACTTTCTAAGGTGGGACTTCATTTTCCCCTCCATTTGATGATACTATCTTATCTTCAATGATGGAGAATATCACTCTTATATATGACGTCCAACTCGTGGTGTTAGTTAGTAGTATTCATCGGAGAATACAAGTACGTCGTTATTATTCTGACTCACATACTCTTTGCTACTTGTTTTTTACTATACAGGGGAAAAAGCGACTACTACATAACTGCGTAGGAGGGCTTTAAGGTTAGCGGTGCCCCTTCTAATAATAAAGGTTGGAAGGAGTACTTCTATCTCAAAGGTTCTGGTCAAGATTAGGGGTTCAATCTAATCTTGTCGGCACACCCCATAGGTAACATACTTCCCTTCTTGTCGAATGAGGAGATGAATTAAGTGTTCAAAAACCTTAGAGAGCATCTTATGTGCAAAAAAAAATAAAAACAAAAACCTATTCTCAAAAGAAAGATATTATATTGCTATGTGATGATCGGGAGTAAAAAAAATTCATTTAGAGGGGCGACAAGTGGGTATGCTTGGTATATCGGGCCCTCCTTCTAGTGTCAAAAAAATGATGAAAAAAAATATCATTAATGTCTTGGTCAATCCGACATGATCTATACCTATATGCATAGAATTGTCCGAAGTGCCTTTGAGATGAAAACGCCAAGCCCCTAGGTACCATTTACACTAAGACCAAAATCAAGAGGATTTCCTAACATGATCCCTAGTCAAAAGATAAACCTCCTTTATGAGTTTTTATATCTGATAAAGAAATGCATAAAATATTTTGTTAGATATTAGACTTAATGTGTATTCCCTATCCACTCATGCCACACATGCCCAGCTCTTCTCGAACTTATTTGCTATCATTGAGGCGTCCGATTCCATCTCCCCAACATTAACGTCAACACAAACACCAAAATCTTCCTGCGCTACCAAAGCTGAAGCAACATCAACTCCGAAGTGCACGAGAAACGATTCCACGCTTTTGTTGCTCATCGTGTCCACACCACATCAAAGACATCGCCCTCCTGAAGCTCCAAAATCTACACTCTTTAAATCTGTCAGCTCAGCATAATGAAGAGAATATAATTTAGCAGCAACTCTCGGAAGCGAGAAATGGATCATCTCCGGCGGACAGATACTAACAGAAGCCTCGAGAGCCTTCTCGACCAGGAACATCCGGCAGCCAACCGGGAGCTTGCGCCGCCCCAGATGGTGGTGTACCCCGGCCATGGACTAGAATTCCAGAACCTGTCCTACAGTATCATGAAGCAGCAGAAGAAAGGTGGTGTCTGGATCAAAAACGAGGCTTACCTACTCAACGACCTCTCCGGACAAGCCCTCCGAGGCCAGGTCACCGCCATATTAGGCCCCAGCGGTGCCGGTAAGTCGACGTTCCTCGACGCCTTGGCCGGCAGGATTGCTCGGGGGAGCCTCGAAGGGTCCGTCAGTATCGACGGAAGGCCGGTTAGTATCAAAATGCTGTCCTTGCTGCCGACAGGAATGGCACCGATTGGACAATGATGCATAGCACTTGGTTTGAGCAGGTGACCACCAGCTACATGAAGAGGGTCTCGTCGTACGTGATGCAAGATGACCAGCTCTTCCCCATGCTGACGGTGGTCGAGACGCTCACGTTCGCTGCGGAACTCAGGCTTCCTCCCTCTGTTTCCAAGTCTGAGAAGAGGAAGAGGGTGTGGGAGCTACTTGATCAGCTTGGTTTGCAGGTCGGTCAATTCAAGCCATTGTCCAACTCATGTTTCTCCTGTTGATTTATATCGTGATGGGTGATGCATATATAGACGGCTGCGCACACTTACATCGGGGATGAAGGGAGGCGCGGCGTGTCAGGGGGTGAGCGTCGGCGGGTGTCGATCGGGGTCGACATCATACACAAGCCATCTCTGCTGTTCCTGGATGAACCCACATCAGGTCTGGACTCCTCCAGTGCTTACAGTGTGGTGGAGAAGGTGAAGAAAATCGCAAAAGAAGGGAGCATTGTGCTGATGACAATCCATCAGCCATCTTTCAGGATACAGATGCTTCTTGATCGGATTATTGTCCTTGCAAGGTGAGCATGGAATCTTACCATCGAGTAAATGCATAAGCTGGAATTCTCAATACTAGTTGGACAGCAGAAAGAGTGAATTATATTCATAGATTTGAGTATGGCACAATGTGTTGTGACTCTGTTTCAGGGGAAGATTGATCTACCTCGGCAACCCTACTGCTCTTCCAGAACACCTTTCGGGATTCGGCCGACAGGTTCCCGAAGGCGAGAACAGCATCGAACATCTTTTGGACGTCATCAAGGAGTATGACGAAACCACTCTTGGACTCGAGCCATTGGTACTTTACCAGCGTGATGGCCGCAAGCCCAACCAAGCTGCAAGAACCCGAATCCCGAAGACTCCCAAGACCCCACGAACGCCATTCCATAAATCCACCACCCGCATACCCCCTCGGATCACACTCCACAGCGGTCAATTATCAGACGGCGCCTCTACGCCAGGAGTGAATCCGAACATGTTCGAGCCGTACGATGATGACGACGAGGAAGACTTCGACAAATCTCGAGAAAGGAAGAAGATAGCACAGACGCCCTTCGGCAGTGGAGGAAGCAACCCGAGATTAGCCTCGCATTTCTACAAAGACTTCTCGGTCTGGCTGTACCGTGGCGTCACCAACACCCCTCGACGGCAACCAAACTGGACTCCAGCTCTGACACCTGGCCGCACCCCTGCCAAGACCCCTGTCTCGAGCTACTACACTACCGCCCGCCCACGGACACCACATGATGCTTCTCCTATTCCTCCTCCGAGGACCCCAGTCTTCATCAGTGCGCCACCGTCATCTATTGACCCCGACGACCCTGAACCACTGGACGGCTACGAGGAGGGAGCAGAGTACGCCAACCCGTGGATACGCGAAGTATTGGTCCTCTCGCACCGCAATGCGCTCAACGTGGTCCGCACTCCCGAGCTCTTCCTGTCTCGCGAGATCGTGCTCACCGTCATGGCGGTAATCCTGTCCACGCTCTTCCACCGTCTCAACGGCGACGACTTCACGACCATCAACCGCCTACTCAACTTCTACATCTTCGCAGTCTGCCTCGTCTTCTTCTCCTCCAACGACGCCGTGCCCACATTCATTCAAGAGCGCTTCATATTCATCCGCGAGACGTCCTACAACGCCTACCGCGCCTCGTCCTATGTCGTCTCCACTCTACTGGTTTACCTGCCTTTTTTCGCCGCCCAGGGATTCACCTTCGCCATCATCACGAAGCTGATGCTGAGACTCAAGAGCAGCCTGCTGTACTTCTGGATTATACTGTACGCATCGCTTATTACGACGAACGCGTACGTGATGCTCGTCAGCGCGCTGGTGCCAAGCTACATCACGGGCTACGCGGTGGTGATCGCAACCACCGCGCTTTTCTTCCTGATGTGCGGCTTCTTCTTGAAGCAGTCGAGAATTCCAGTCTATTGGCGGTGGCTGCACTACATCTCGGCGATCAAGTACCCCTTCGAGGCGTTGCTGACGAACGAGTTCAAAGGAGATCGGTGCTACTCTGGGAGCTTCAGTGACCTCTCGCCGGGCCCGCTGGGCAATATCAGCTTTAGCGACCTTCACAGGCATCTGAAAGTTGACTGCCCGTTGATCGGGGAGGACGTCCTGTCGACCATGGACATACATTTCGAGAACGTGTGGGCCGACGTCGCCATACTTCTTGCGTGGGGTGTGCTCTATAGGTTCTTCTTCTACGTGGTGCTGAGGTTCTACTCCAAGAATGAGAGGAAGTGAAGCTCTACAGCCCTACTAATTTCTTCAAGATCATGGAAGGAATTCTAATAAAACCAAATCTACATCGAAGTCTCAACTGGTGGGGAGGAACATTGTATAAGCCTCAAACTAGAGATGCTTCATGTGATACCAAGATAAGATAGAAAGACAAAAGCCAGTGTTACCTTCAATTTATAGTTTCATATATTATGTTGGGTTTGTAGATTATTTGATGCAACAATAAATACAAAATTAGTACCGTGTCATCGGCGAGGCCCATCGCGCGCTTCTGATGGGGGAAGAGAGAAGCCGAGCCTTGTCGCCATGGTGATTGGGTACGTTGAAGAAGATTTCCTGTACGGGTACGCACGCAAACGTTATAATATGAATACGATTGATGGGTGTTGTTCAAGTCACCACACGAAATAAAAGCTTCCCATCACTGCTGCTTCTCAAAATCTCACCGTACATTCATGTGAGGTGACACGTGGGAGTACCATAAGTACCGAGGAATACTGGAACCCAACATCCCATGTGAGGCTTAAGATGGTAGTACGAGCCTTGATGAGGAAGCATCTCCATAACAATGGAGAACCTTTCGATCAAGGCATTGGTTGCTTGCATCGTGGTGGATGCTGTCAAGTGTCCTTTGCCTACACATGCAACTTGATGATCCATATTATTATATGAACCTCAACTTGGAAGACCTCGTCGGCACATGCACCAATATAATTGCATTCTTCTGCAGGAGGGAATCAAGGGAAAAGGTGCGACCAAACCATTTGCTTCCAGTTTGCCCTCTAGTTTAGTCCACATCGAACAAGACCTGTCGCTACCTCATCGTCTTTATTTCCTTGCTTCTCCTGATCTATCGAAGCCAAGCGAGAAGCAGGGCGAGGAAGAAGACATGGGCAATGCTTTGGGTGGGAGGAAGAAAGCTGCCAAGATCATGAAGATAGATGGCACCACGTTCAAGGTGAAGCCTCCGGCTCAGGCGATTACCGTGCTCCGAGACCACCCGGGCCACGCCCTCCTCGAATCCGACGAGGTGAAGCGCCTCGCCCTCCGGGCCAGGCCGCTTGACCCGGATGCGCAGCTCCAACGAGGGAAGCTCTACTTTCTCGTTGAGCTCACCCAGCTCCGGGGCCGAGGAGCGCCACGGAGGGCCTGGTCCGGGCAGCTCCAGGTGGGCGCCAAGGAACGGCTGGAGAGCCTCAGGCTCACCCGCCGCTCGGTGTCGGATCTGTCGCTCGCCGGTAGGTGCTCGGTGGACGTCGAGGAGGCCAAGGATGGGGCGGTCCGCCTTCGGGTGAGGCTGCCCAAGGTTCAAGTGGAGAAGCTGATGCAGGACAGCAGGGACGCTGCGGAGGCCGCCAACAAGATCATGCAGCTGTGTGTGGAGAAGGACGGCGTTCAAAAGAAATTGCTGCAACCGACGGCCGATCACCAAAAGGAGGTACTCCATCTCCCTCTTCCTAGGAGCCTTTGCTTGTCCTCTGCTGCACCTCTTAGTTAAAGCACTCTTTTCCTTTCTCCAAGAAAAAGAATGCAGTCTTCCATTTCCTGTTAAATATCTCACACCCGACATGAATGCATCGGGTGGAATCCACTGCTCTGCAGAATGCAGAGCACAAGAACTACCATTTTGAGATGTTTTTAATATGCTGATTTGTGTTTCCATCATCAATCAACTCCTGCAGAAACGAACGAGGTTCGTCGTCACACCAGATGAGATCATCGTATAATTAGCTCTGCCGTGCTTCTTCCATGGGTGATGTTTAGGCCACGGAGCGAGCCCAAGGAACAACAATGCGGCAGTCATGTAGTCGAGGTTGCGGGTTGAGCATGAGAAGCTGCTGGTTGCTTCCTATCTATCTTCTTTCGTAGATGGAATGGAATCTCTGATGGGTTCTTCCCATGTGATGATCGAGTCATGGCTTCGTTACTACCAGCAAATAATCTCTGTCAAACATGAGTTCTCTCTTCTCTACCGTTTTACTCACAATCTCAACTCTTCTCCCTGAGGACCAAAGAGAATATACTGTCCAGGTCCAACATGTAGTTGTTTTCGCATGGAAACTGTGGTCCGTCTCTAACATGCTCTACGTTGGCACCTTTGATTGATGAATACAAAGATAATTAGCAGTTGGCGTTATCTCCCTTCGAACGGGAAGGGAAAGGAAGGGAAGAGGAAAAGAAGGAAGATGAGGGATTACCATAGAGGACGGGAAGGAGAAACTGTCCTCCTCTCGTCCTTTTTGGGTCTCACCTCTTTTACTTTCTCTATTATGCATAATATTGCGTAATCTATATAAAATTATGCTATCATGTGACAACATAAATAAAAGATAAATTATGGATCATGTTATATGCATCTTTCTAATTTTCCATTATGTGATACTCTTTTGGACTCATTGGATCTCTGATGATTTGCTGGCCAAAATTGGGCCTTGAAAGGAAATCTGGGCCACAAGAGAAGAAGTAGGGCTTCATGATTACCCACAACATTAATAATCACTCTATTATATAAAATCATTAATGACATAAATAAGAGATCAATCATTATCTAAGATTCAAAATATTTATAAATAACCATTGTTTCTTCATAAAATAAATTTTGAGTCTCCACATTCATATTACCTCACTACAGTACGATTTACATGAGTTTGATGGCAGGTTCTTACCACTGGATGACACAAAGGCATGAAGTCACCCAAACAAGCATGCATGTTTTAGATCTGGTCAAACAAAGGGTAATGGGGAACAGAGGAGAGAGACCAAAGGGGGAGGAGGGGATGAATCGAAAAGCTGCAAAAGGACGTAAACCGAAGATTAGAGCAGACTAAAGCCACTCATGTCCTGTTCTTCATCTCCTGTCATTTTCTCAGATTCCTTTTCAGTGATGCATGATGATGTGTGTTTTAGACTCACTTCCCATTGACGGTGCTCAATCCGTCTATTATTGGGCCTAATAAAGACGTCATTGGAGGATGTCATCCGGTTATTATGTGGCCATTGCTTTGTATTGAATAATAATGTATGATGGTGATACCATTTAATAGATTTGTAAGTTGCAATCATCTGCAACTGATTTGAATTTAGTTATTTTATGTGGGCAACCATGATTAAATCCCATTTTATGGGAAAAATGATATGTTATTATCTATGTTTTTGTCCAAGAAAATAATAAAAAATTCAGCTAAAAAATAAAACATTCCCCAAACAATAAGTGATAAAAGCTTTTAGTATGCTTCAATTTTATCCACAATGAAATTAATTTTTTTACTATATAAAAAATTAAAATATACAAAATCTAATGAATATGAGTAGTCAAAAGAAAATTCTTCTCGTCATCAAGGTAGCTGAATAGTGATGGCTTCTTTAAGAAAGATATTTAGAATCTAAATGTAAAGAAAAAATTCCATTCTGATATGATGTTGAGATGATGAATGAGTTGACCAAGACACAGTGGATTTTAAGATGCTGGCATCCTTCATGGCTCCCAATTTCATGTGTTTGTATTTTATTGGGGATAAAGAAGATGTACAAAATGACGACAAAATATGATCAGAAAAGATCAAAGAGATTGAAGGACTGGTGTGCACAAAGGATCACAGCCATGTCCTCTCTCCGGTAGACAAGCTAACAATACAGAATATGAATCCGGAAAGCAAGCTGCGAGTATTCAATCAATATCTAACTGGTTGGAGGCCACTAAATGGTTTGGAAGAAGTGAAGTCAAAACTCAGATTTGCAAATGATTGTTCAGCACAAACATGGAATTATCTGCTTCAAATATAGTCTTTATCTCGCAGAAAATTATTGTCAGAACTCATGAAGATGATCTGAAAACTCTCCAAGTAACTAAAGCTAAAAAAGGTGGAGAAAAGTTTGCTGCAACACATTCTTCACAAGGCTGTTTGTCCCGAACTCCAAGCAGGCAGTCTTGGATCATGGTATATGCAAGAAGAAGAGAAAGAGACTCTAATCCATTGCCAAGAATCGAATACTACTGAAGCTATCATGAAGCAGTTTACTGACCACAACCTTGTGGAAATTGCAGGTTTTTTAAGGAGTTGGGATGTTCTCAAGTCTTTCCTTTTTCAATATTTTTCTCATGCAATTTGGTTGCTTCCCACTCATTGTGTAGTTGAATTGTTATTGTTTGTAGGGATGTTTAATTGATGGCTCTTATTATAATAAAAAATAAAGATCATGAATAAAATAGAAGTGGATGATCAATCATCCCTTTTCATTACTAGGCTTCAATGCCTATGAATTGAACTCCAAACTGGTCCCAACAAACAAAGTAGGAATATTCATAGAATGTGGCATAATAATATACCATAAATCTTAGAATTACATTCTTGGAATTAGATAATGTAAAAAAATCTTGATCAACTACTCTTAAACAAGAAAACAATCTTAATGGGAAGGAATTTACCTAATGACTAGGAGAGATGGGAATATGTGTCGAATGAATATAGGAAGCTGCTTCAATTGTCTACGGAGAAAATACGAAAACTTTTGATTAAAAATTAATATATAATAATATTTTTAGATATTTTTTTGAAAAAACCTATATATTTTTAAATTTCCTTATAATACTTTTGTGTCTAATTTTTTCATTTGATACTCATTTTTTACTTAATATTTAAAATATCTCTCGTTATCGTCTCTTATCTTTGTTCTCTCTATTATATCACTTGGCTTTTACCTAGTTAAAATAATCTTCTCTCATTATTTTCTCTTTATTGTGATTATTTTTCCTTGTCACATTCATCTTCACCTACCATGAGGGGCTTCTTAATAGGGTCGAGGCTAAGCGATGAAAAGTGATAAGGGGTATTTAAGATATTAGAGGAAAAATTGATACTTAATAGATATATAAAAAATTCAGAGCACCTTTTGATAAAACCTAAAAAGATAAATTTTTTTAAATCACTCAATATTTTTTAATATTTACGTTTTAATTTCTAAGATATATATATATATATATATATATATATATATATATATATATATATATATATTTCTATTTTGATCTCATCTCATAATGTGATTTTGATAATTATTATACGACCTACCATTGTAAAATAGATACATGCACTTGTCTTATCATTATTGTAGTGGTTTGTTATCCTCGTTGATTAATGAAAGATCCACTTGTAATCGATGGGTACAATACCCTCAAGTGCATCAACTAAGTTTCAAAATTTCAAACTAAGTTTCAAACTTTGTTGAAGTCTTATAATTCAAGATTTCTTGTCATTTCCTAGAGTCTATACTCAGCTTCGTAGGTTTGAGGATCAATATTCTCAATATCCTCTTTTCTAATATGTCCCATATATCTTACTCTACCAAACCTACCTAAAGTCGAAACTTATAAGTAATAATTATAATTTATTTAAAAATTAATCTAATTACAAATATCAAGGTTTGTTTTCTTGAGTTTGATATGGTCTTAAAAAGGTATTGCACGACAAAACAGGTAGTCCGAAAACAAATAAAAATATATATCATGGTGTTAAGAATTTATTAATAAATATAGCTTGATAATTGCTAAAAAATTTCACTGTGACTTGTTCTAATAATAAATATGCTGATAAGAATACATGATCGAGATGTAGATAGAGTTTTATTTGGCTTTTATTTAACTGAGACTTGCACATATCTATTATTTGTTGAAAGTAATAGTTATCATCCTAAAAATAAAATAATCCTAATTAAGATTGTGATGTCCATTCCTAATTGCATCCATATTCAAATGTATCTGTTTATTAAGGCAGGCATCTGTACCACTTTAACTTATATAAATTAGATTGCATCAAATGTAATTAAATTATGTAACATTAAAGCCGAGGGTTTCAACCCGTGGATCAATCATTCTTATTCCCTAGACTTACATTAGAGGAAGTATGTAATAATAACAAATGATGGATGCCTATCAACGGTCGAGATGTGATGTTGAGTGGATGGAGGGCCAAGATGAAAGAGTTGAACCGACAAATTGGACCGTTCGGAGACGAGCGGTTCAGATCGGCGCCATCCGGTCGAACAGAACCGGAAACGTGGGAGATAAGGGACAGGCGGCTGGATTGGATCGGCTGTTCCAGGCTGCAAACCATTCAAATCGAAATACTGTGCCACGTAGGATACCTACGTACAATGACCGAAGAAGCACGCGGTTTCTGACGTAATCAACGCGGAGAAGAGTCACCAATTTGGCAGGCCAACGCGTCACTCACATGTTTCGTGTTTAGCGCCAGGGACCCGATCATTACCGGATGGCAATTCCGTAGTTTTCTTGATCTGTGGGGATAACTTAATTACTTTGAGGTGATTGCGCCGGCATTGACGACGTGGGCGAGATGTGGTCCGTTGAATTCATTGCACTCATATCTCTCTCTCCGTTTCACTAGTTATAAAGAAATATGAATATAAAAAACCTCTTTTGTTTGGGTCTCCACAAGAACTGAGAGAGATAGAGATAAAAGAGAGGGAGAAGGAGAGAGCGAGGTCATTTCCTCCAAGGTTAGTGCTAGGGCTTGGTTTGTGAACCTGCGGACGAGGATGGAGGGGGCGAACGGGGCTTACGTGGCGTGGCAGGAGGTGGTGGTGTCGAACGACAAGGGGCGGAGGGTGGTGCACTACTACCTCAAGGGCGCCGGCGGCGGGGCGGATCTGGCAGTGGTGGGACGGGAGAAGAGCTTGCGGCACATGTCGTACGCCGTACCCAGCCAGTTCGTCAGATCGCTCAAGGCGAGGCCGCACCTCCTGCCCTCTTTGCCGTCCTCCTCGGCCCCTCACTTGCCGTCGGCGTCTGCGTTCCCTTTCAAGTGGCGCTCGAGGAGGGAGGTCATCGACTGGCTCTCGTCTCTAGTCCAAGGTACGCTTCATAAACTCTCCGCCTTCCTCTTAAATCGATGGATTTCGGGAGAAATAGGCGAATAGTCTGAAATTGCTGAAAAGATGGAATTTTTGTATGGAAATCTGTTTGTGCGCATGGAGTATGGGTTTGTGGATGGATCTGTTTGGCTTCTGACGTGATTTTTCCGAAAGGTGTTTCCTTGTGGACGGATTGGTAGGTCTGGGGCGTTAATGTGGGGATCTTCTCCTATTTTTGTGCTTTGGTCAATTATACGTTATGTTTAA